ATATGTATTTATGTGAACAGATATGAAAGTAACGAAATAAAATATTTCTATCAATTCGGGGTTTCCTCCTGCCCATTCTCACTCAGCCGCAGCTTTAGCGGGAAAACTGAAAACTTTAAGGCACATCTTAAGTTAGTTTGGGCTAATACTTTTCAGCTGTTAGCTAGAGGGTATATGCGAGGCAAAGCCTGCTACATGCTACGTGCCAACACGCTTGCACCCACCCACGCACACACACACACACACGCACACACACAGTGAAAGGATGCCCATTGAGAAAGGAAGGAGGAAAAAAAAAATGAAGTGAAATTTACTTTGACATATTTTTGTGCTTAGCAAAGCAAATACTTTCATTATTTTTGCTGTTGGCATTAAGTTTCTTGCATTGTTGTTGTTCCAGCCGCTGGCCATGTGCTACGTAATCACACACAGACACACGCACACTGGCATGCTGAGCCACTTGCCTCTGAGCTGCATTTGAGTGGCTCAAAACATTTGTGGTCACGCCCACAAAACAGAACACAAAGCGAGCCGAGCAGGAGGTGGAATATGCTGCATATACTATGCTATATTATATATACATATACATACATATATATTAGTATGTATATATATGAAGATGGCCAACGTGGACAGAAGCGGTATTTCGTACACATTTCGGACAGCAGGACAAAGAGACAGACACAGAGACAGAAACAGAGACAGGGATAGAGACAGGCACAGGGACGTGGCTAAGGGGTCACTATATAAGCACAATATGCGGGAGCGGTATTTCGATAAACGCCACTGGACCAGCCAAGCCCAACCAGTGAAGGAGGGGAGGGTGAAGGGGAGGTGAGTAGGGGGGACGTTGTTTTGGGGCGCTGTCACGTTAGTTGTGGAATTTGTAATTTTTGCTCAAAACAATTTTATATGGCAGCGCTTGGTAGACTGAAACTGATTGTAGATACGACACGCTCCTTTGACTCAGCGACCCAGCAACCGAGCGACCGAACGACCGAGCGACCGAGCGACCGTCCGACAGACTCACTTTCTTTGTTATCTGTATGTGTATGTGTGTGTGTGTGTACATATGTAAAAGCATAAGATTGTGTTGTGTCGCGTCTTCTTTTTGCCGGAGTTCATGACACAATTTCAACAGCGATACGCTTAAATAGACTTTTATTTATGTTACGCCCCCCTACCACCTACCAGAGCCATGCCCAAAGATACGCCCACATGCCCATAGTTCGGTGTAATCAATTTCTCTTGTGTAAACTTTAACAAAATCTATACA